GAGAATGGTCATTATTAAACTCAAATTAATTGCTACTTGAGATTTTGTTGCTCATTCACTCATTTTGAAGTTTCTGTGTTATTGTGCTTACTGTTAGATTTATGGAGGTTGTAATGGTGGCAAAAAAAAAAAATTCAAAATAGTGATGAAGTGACTCTAACCTAGATGGCTAGCCATTGTTTGGGCTAAACAATCCAAATATTAATAGTGTTTATCACTCGTACAATATAGGTATGGAGACATACAGAACATGTAAAAATATGTGTACAGATTTTCACCATGGTGTTGTTTAAAATAGCAAGAAGTTAAAAGTAAACTTAATTCCCAGGAATAGGGGGATCTGTTTATACAGTAGAATATTTTGAAGTTTTTAGAACGATGATTTTAATCTATATTGAATGGCATGGAAAGCTCTTCATTTATTGTAAAGAAAAAGTTTTTAAAGTTTGTAAAGTAAGGTCTCACTTTGGTAAGAATAATTATATTTACACAAGTAAATCACAGGAGTAAGTATGCACACCAAAATAATAGGTGGCCATGTTTTGTTTGTAGAATTTCAGGTGGTAGTTTTTTCCCCCATTTTTGTTTTCTAGTTTTTTAGTGATGGACGGCATTTTGCTTTTGCAAATGAAATGATAAAGGAAAAGGATATTTATACCTTGGTAGAGCTGATGTAGAGTAGGAGTCTAGATCATCTGCTCAAGGGGAAGGCAGTGATGGGGTAGTAAAATATGTTGGAAATACTTGGAGTAGACTTATCAGCAGTGTGCTAAGGAGTCAGAGCGAGGGAAGGAACCTTGGATTTGGAGTGGACAGTAACTTCAGGACCCATCTCTGCCACTTCAACCCCTTATCTCTTCCTCATAGGAAAGATCCAAATAAGGGTTAAACTAATGCTTAAGTTGTGGAGCTGAAACACTTAGTAAAACATTGCAGCTGGGATGGAGTTTGAAATTAAAGTAGGTAGCAAGAGTTTGCAGTGGTTCAGAGGCTGGCTTCATCCCACAGTTCAGTAGCAGTCCATACCACATTAACTGGATGGATGTATTGACTGAGAGGACAAGGTGCTAGTTGGTACGTGGACACCGGAATGTAGAAGTACAGGATGCCACCCTTGTCCATGAAGGGCTTGCAGGCTAAGAAGAAGACAGATAGTTTTTAATGTGTTGTATGAAAAGTGCTACCGTGTTTAGATATCTGGGAGAGTACCTCAGTTAAGATGAGGTGAGTCTTGAGTTAGACTTGAAGAATGAGGAGACATTCACAAGGTGGACAGGATGGGAACAGGATGGGGAAGATTGTTCCAGGTAGAGGGAGCTGCATGTCCAAAAATTCAAGGAATGTGTTATGTTAATGGTTGTGTTGACAGACCCAACAAGAGCTCAAGAAACCTGCCAAGATAACTCATCTAAGATGGGCTTGAGTTGAGACTTAGGCTGGGTCTTTGGGACACTGCAATTTTGTATTCCTTGAGATGATGAATGTATTATCCAGATGGAGGAAAAAATTCTTTCTTTTCTTGTATTGATCAGTACCATAGATCATCTATGAGAATATTGCAGTTGAACTTTTTATGTGACTATTTTGAATAACATTTGCTTGAGCATATTACTGTTACAAGTATTTGTAATGATCTTGCTTTTGCAGAATGTGTAATTTGTGGCACATATTTTCACAGTTGATTTAAATTTTTATGATCAGATGTGTTGGTTAAGTTAATATAAATTTACAGTTACTGTGTTCTTTTAAAATTTCTATTTAAAAATATATAATACTTAAAGATTATCTAATTTACATAAATAATGCCAGTATATTCTACAAAATTTCTTGTATATACAAATTTGAGTGGCCTAACCTAGAAATGTTTATCTTGAGTACTATTCTATTAATCTAGAAATATTCAATTATATTAATAGCACCTGGTTTCTAGATTTGCATAAATTAAATGTCTGTGAGACTGCCATTTATAAATTGTGTGCTCTTAACCTCTCTGAGCTGCAGATTCCCCGTCTTTGAGGTAAAGATTATAGTACCTATTTTGAAGAGTTGTTCTGGAAATTAAATTTATATATAATAAATTCTATATAAAATTCACATATGTATATATGGATTAAAATAGTGTGTGCCCTCCATTAAGCTTTGTGATAAATGTTTGTTGCCCTATATGTCTTCAAAAATATCCTTTTTTTTTTTTTGAGTTGGGGTCGCACTCAGTTACCCAGACTGGAGTGCAGTGGCCGCTCCCGGACACTGCAGCCTCGACCTGCTGGGCTCCAGCGATCCTTCTGCCTCAGCCTTCCAAGTAACTGGAACTACAGGCATACACTACCACGCCCAGCAAATTTTTTTTATTTATTGTAGAGATGAGGTCTCACCAAGATGCCCAGCTGGGTCTCGAACCCGCGGGCTCAGGCAGTTCACTCACCTCGGCCTCCCAAAGCACGGGATTACAGGCTGAGCCACCAAGCCCGGCCCAAAAATATTCTTATATTAATGTGCACCACAACCCCTGAGATAGATTGTTACTCTTGAGGAACAGTGTTCGACTTGAAGAAACTAAAGCTCAGAGATGTTCAGTAACTTGCCAAAGCTCACAGAACCAATGAGTAGCAAAGGTAGTTCAAAGTCAGGCTCAGAGCCTCAGTTGCTAGCCACTGAGTAATACTGAAATCACTGCCTATAATTTCATGCCAGTCAGTAGTAATATTCCTACCCCAATCTAAGAAAATAATATCCTATGGCTATAAATATATAAATTTGTCTGTTATTTTGTGGTGTGCTTATGTGAAGAGTTACGCATTTCAAAACATTTTCTATTTCAGTGTATGATCTTCCCCAACAGCCTAATGATGTTCAGCTCTTTTATGGAAACATGTCTAAAATTATACTTTCAGTCGTTGGAGAATTTAGAGATTGCGTTTCTAGCAGAGAATTTTTTCAGCCTTCTTCCAAAGCTAGCTTGGACTCCACAAGGTAAAATAAATAAAAATCTTTCACCAGTTTTCAAGATTATTTAAGTCATAGTAGAGCCAGTCTTTTTTCCTTGTATATTATTATTTTGTGGTTAAAAGGAGAGCATAGATTGCAGGCCAACTGTAAACACATTTCTTATGGATGACCTTGATGTTGATATCGAGTTCAGGCCAGTGACTTTGTAAAACAGACTTTGTAAAATAGTCCTCAATTTTAGTTTGCAGATTCAGATTTCACACCTTTGGCAGAACATCACAGAAGTGATGCCATTTTTTTCTCAGTGCATCTTCTCAGATGGTATACAATGCTGATTTGTCCCATTACTAATATTATCACTTAGTTAAAAATGGTGTCTGCCAGATTTTTCCACTGTAGAGTTAATAAATATTTTACAAGGAGTTTCTTAAAGATAATGAATTATCTTGTTCTTTATCAGACTTTTAGCATCCGTTGATTATTGCCTGAATCATTATCACCATGGTTACTAAATGGTGATTTTTCTAATTCCGTCTTTCTTTCTACATTTATTAGTTGACTTTCCACTAATAGACTTATAAAAGTTATCTTTCATAAGGAAGAAATTTACTTTTCCCACTTTGATATAATTATTCACTTATGATGGACTCCTGGATTCAGTATTAATGCTTCATTGTCATACTTGGTCCCCACACTGGCTCTTTGACTCATTGATGCATCTTGCATCATTTGAGCACTTTCTTACTTGTTGGCTCGGCAGGATATTCTAGGCTTATCTTATATTCTTTCTGCCCAGCCCTGAAACAGCCATTTCTTTTAGAAATTGTAGTTCCTTTTAGCAGAGAATGGTGTTAGTAACCAGGGTGTGGCCGGGCTCGGTGGCTCAGCTTGTAATCCTGCGCCTTTGGGAGGCTGAGGTGAGTGGATTGCCTGAGCCCGCGGGTTCGAGACCTGTCTAGGCAGTGAGACCTCATCTCTACAATAAATCAAAAAATCAGCCAGGCGTGGTAACGCATGCCTGTAATTCTGGCTACTTGGAAGGCTGAGGCGGAAGGATCGCCAGAGCCCAGCAGGTCGAGGCTGCGGTGGCCGGGAGCGGCCACTGCACTCCAGTTGGGGCGACAGAGTGAGACTCCAACCCCCCCCTCCCAAAAAATTGTTTCTGACTTGAGTCTGTTTTTTCTGGGGCAGTGGAGGTCTGACTTGAAAAGGACTGGTGAAAGGGCAGTGGGTAAGAGACCAGGGAGAGAGAGAGAGAAAGTGGGGGAGAAAGAGAGATATCTCTGCTCTGAGTGTTAAAGTAAACAAAAAAGTCAGACCTCCACTGCCCCAGAAAAAACAGACTCAAGTCAGAAACAATTTTTTGGGAGGGGGGGGTTGGAGTCTCACTCTGTCGCCCCAACTGGAGTGCAGTGGCCGCTCCCGGCCACCGCAGCCTCGACCTACTGGTCTCCGGCGATTCTTCCACCTCAGCCTTCCAAGTAGCCGGAATTAGAGGCATGCGCTATCACGCCCAGCTGATTTTTGATTTATTGTAGAGATGAGTTCTCGCCAAGTTGCCCCATGCAGGTCTTGAGCCCGCAGGCTCAGGCAATTCACTCACCTCGGCCTCCCAAAGGCATGGGATTACAGGCTGAGCCACCGAGCCCGGCTTGTAATTTTTTTAATAATCTAAGGCTTGTTAGAAAATACGTTGTTTTAGTGCTTAATAAAAATATCTATAAACTATATTAGCATTTCTTACTGTAGTGTTTTGCCCAGAATCTCCTATTTTAATGTTTTTGGTGTCAGCATTGTGAAACCAATTACTATTGTGCAGTTGTAGATACAATAAGAAGTTTTATTTTTCTTAAATTTCTGATACTGGATCATTTTCTAATAAGTCTTTTGAGAGACCAGATGGCATGTGAGAGTTAAGACAGAAAAAAAAATTTAAACCACTGAATACTCTAAAATTTATTATACTATTTGACCTATCCTGTACTTAATTTTTATACACACTTTTAAATATATGCAATATGAAGAATTTTTATTCACTGAAAGATACATGGCATATAATATACCTTTAACTTTGTCTTAATGTTTTTAGATCCGTGAAGAATGAATATAAGAATGTATGCCACAATCTGACCTTTTATCACTTTTAACTTGTCCTCTCTCTTTGAATTGCCCATTTTTAAATAATTTTTCTAGTGGATCAGGAACTTCTAGAAAACATGATGGCAATGTGTCTTTGGATGTCTTACCAGTCAAAGGTCCTCAAGGTCCTCCTCTTTCACAAGCTGCGCCCGCGCCTCAGGACCAGCCAGCCTCTGGAGAGACATGGACTATCCTACCTGAACACTTGATTTTGGTAGCTCCCTCTCCTCGTGAGTATGTCGGTGGCAACCCCGCAGAACGGTGTCCTGAAGCCTGATCTGTGCTCCCTCCCACCTGCTGCACATCCAGGGTACACATGCACTTTGTGCACATTCAGCTCCTGCCTTGCCCGGGTCCTGCTCCCACTACTAGAGTCCCCACTCCTACCCCCAAAGCACCACTCTTGTGCTATGGCCAACTTCTGGAGGACAGAGAACACCCCCACCCAAACAGCTCCTTCAGCACTTGGTCTCCTGTAACCTTCGCACTGATAGCGTTGATTCAGAGGAAGCTCGGATGTGATGCATATGTGTGTGCCAATGTCTAGACCAGGCAGTAACAATTTCCAGATATCTATTTTTCTCTTGTTTGATATTGCCCGTGTCTTTGCAGTTTATAAGAATAAACAAATAGACTTGTTTTCCAGGGATTTGAAATTCCTATAATTGAGCAGTGGAGAGAGCAGAATAAGTTAGCATACTTGTATATTTACTTAGAATTTATTTTTATTATTTGTTAACATTTATCTTTTTCACTATTACTAAATGTAAGTAACATTTTATTTATCTGATATAATAGGTGACATGGCAAAAACTGGACGTTTCCAGATTGTAAATAATTCCATTAGGTTACTGAAATTTGAGCTGTGCTGGCCAGCACATTGCCTTACGGTCACACCACAACATGGATTTGTAGCACCAGAGTAAGTCTGACTTCTGTGTTCTTCTAGGTGTTATTCAGATGCTAGCATGGAGGCTTTCTAAAGGTTAAACATGTCATTTGAATTTATTCAGTAGTAAAAGTTTGCAGAGTGCTTACTTGGTTCTGTGGGATGACAGTGAGCTCAAGGTTAATGTCACTTAGTAGAGTAGAGATCTTGCACACAGCTGGTTATGGTGTAATCTAAGATTTGAAAGGGACATTTTTGAGGTAGAACAGAGTCCCTGGAATGGAAAACATCAAAATGTTTTCTGTTGTAGTACTCTGCCTATAAATTTACAAAGCAAGGAAAAAAACTGGGCATGTCGTAAGGGACTGTGTCTGCTGTGGCTAAAGCCCAAGTGATCTTGCTGTTCCTTCCCTGGTATGGATCATGTAGGGCAGTTTTCAGACAAGCCTCCTGACTTTAATATGTCTGAACCACAAGCTGTCTTACCATTTTCTACACAGAATATTCTGAGAAGGAAGTCTTTTGGGGCCAGCCATTTACACACAGTTGTCCGTCCTCTGTCTACAACCTGGTTTATATAGGAGGGAAAGCCACAGCTCTACTGCTTAACAGAGGCCTCATCTGGGTCAGCTCTCATATCTCGTATCTGCAAGTTGCTCCATATTTGAGACTAGCAACTTTGCACAGAAACAACGTGAAGTTTATTTACTTTTGCATACCTCTGAGTGTATATCTTAGAAACGTTTACTTGACTGAGGCTGTGAGTTAAGTATGGTGAGGGACACTCCAGAGAAACGCTGGCCCAAAGCAGTCAATTAAACATGTACTACGTGACGTGCAACATATTCTTTTCAACTAATGGTTGAAAAGATAGGGAGATGATAGAACAGGTTTTCTGTAACTTTTTCGGAAGTCCCATGTATTTAGTTAGTAGCAGTAGAAAATAATCTTGCCCTGTTTTTTTGACATGTGTACTGAAACACATCAAAATGTTTTGTAACTAGTGATTCCTTTTAATTCACGAATCTGATCACATTGCCCAGTTTTAAACTCTGTGTCATCCCTTAGCTTTTGAAAAGAATATTGAGTGCAAAAAATATTAGCAACTGGGTCATAAAGAAATACATTGTTTTCTCCTTTTCTTTTTCATCTCCCCACCCCCCCACCCTGTTTCCTCTCCAGCTACTACATTTTGTTTGCACTATGACTGTATTATTATTACCAAGTGTCTCAGAGCTTTCATAGTCTTTGTCTTTTGCTCCAGAAATCCTGGGCAGCGAGACTTCATCTCTACAATAAATCAAAAAATTAGCCGGGCGTGGTAGCGCACACCTGTAGTTCCAGCTACTTGGAAGGCTGAGGCGGAAGGATCACCGGAGCCCAGCAGGTCGAGGCTGCGGTGGCCGGGAGCGGCCACTGCACTCCAGTCTGGGTGACAGAGTGAGACTCCAACTCAAAAAAAAAAATTTTTTTTTTTTCATTTTGAATTGCTTTTAAAATGGTATTTTTATGTCATGGTTTGTTTTCACATGAGTTTTGCCCTTGGTCCTGGGTTCATGCCATCCAGCTTTTCATTAACCTTTGAGTTGGGACCGAAGCAAGAGGAGCTGTGTATGGGAACCATGCGAGAGCCTTCCTTTTGAGCAGTAAGGAAATATCTGGTCACTGGAAGACAGTATTTATAACTCTTGTGTTTACTGCTACTAAAGTCTAGACTCATCTTGATTTTCATTATTAATTTCTTTTTTAAGGAGTAAACTACAAATTCTTGTGAGTCCTAATTCCTCCTTATCCACGAAACAGTCAATGTTCCCATGGAGTGGTCTGATCTATATACACTGTGACAATGGACAGAAGGTACTTTTAAAAGTGTTTTTCTGAGCAACATTTCTCTTGTTTTGTAGCTTCCATTCCATAATCCTTGTTAACACTTACATTTAAGAAATCAAATGAAGGTACAGTTGGTCTTTTTCGTACAAGGCTTCCACTTCCACAGGTTCAACCAGCCACAGATTGGATTGAGAATGTTTGGAGAAGAAAATAAAAAATGATACTAATAAAAATACAGTATAATAACTACATAGCATTTACATTAATTAGGTGTTACAAGTCATCTAGAGATGATTTAAAGTATATAGGAGGATGTGTGTAGGTCATATGCAAAAACTCTGTCAATTTATATGAGAGACTTGAGCATCTGTGGATTTTTAGAACTAATTCCTCACAAATATTAGGGGACAACTGTATTTCTTTTTAAATTTGAGACTCGGGGGTACACGTGCAGCTTTGTTACGTGGATATATTGTGTAATAGTGAAGTTTGGACTTCTTTTGAACTCATTACCCAAATAGTGAACTTGGTACTAGGTCAAGGTAGGTAGTTTTTCCACATTGCCTCCCTCCCTTCCTTCCCTTCCTTCCTCCTTTAGGAGTCCCCCAGTGTCTGTTGTTCCCATCTTCATGCCTGTGTGTACCCAGTGTTTAACTGCCATTTGTGAGAACATGCAGTATTTAGTTTTCTGTTTCTACATTAGTTCGCTTAGGATAATGACCTCCAGCTATATTTATGTTGCTGCAAAGGACATGATTCCATTCTTTTTTATGTCTGCATGGTGTTTCATGGTATATATGTACCATATTTTTATTATCCAGTCCACTGTTTGATGGGCACCTAGGTTGGTTCCATGTCTTTGCTATTGTGGGTAGTGCTGTGATAAACATACAAGTGCAGGTGTCTTTTTGACAAAACAATTTATGTTCCTTTGGGTACATACCCAGTAATGGAATTGCTAGGTCAAGTGGTAGCTCTGTTTTTTGTGCTCTGAGAAATCTTCAAATTGCTTTCCACAGGTGCTACACTAGTTTACATTTCTACCAAGTGTTTGAGCTTTCACTTTGCTCTGCAACCTTGCCAACATCTGTTGGTTTTTTTTTTTTTAACTTTTTGATATAGCTGTTCTGACTGGTGTGAGATCTCTTTGTGGTATTGATTTGCATTCCCCTGATGATTAGTGATATTGAAAATTTTTTCATGTTTGTTGGCCACTTGTATGTTTTCCTTTGAGAAGTATCTGTTCATGCCCTTTTTAATGGAGTTATTTTTTTTTTCCTTGTCAACTTAGATTCCTTATGGATTCTGGATATTAATTCTTTGTCAGATGCATAGTTTGCAGATATTTTCTCTCATTTTTTAGGACATGTGTTTACTCTGTTGATAGTTTCTTTTGCTGTGCAGGAGCTCTTTTTTAATTAGATCCCAATTGTCAATCTTTATTTTTACTGTGTTGCTTTTGAGGACTTAGTCATAAATTCTTTGCCTAATCCAATACCCTGAAGAGTATTTCCTAGGATTTCTTCTAGGATTTAAGTCTTTAATTCATCTTGAGTTAATTTTTTTTATATAATGAGAGGTAGGGGTCCAGTTTCATTCTTCGGCATATGGCTAGACAATTTTCCCAGCACCATTTATTGAATACAGTGTCTTTTCTCCATTGTTTGTTTTTGTCGACTTTGACGAAGATCTGTCTGTTTATAGGTGAGCAGATTAATTTCTGGTGTGTCTCTTCTGTTCCAGTGCTCTGTATGTATTTTTGTACTGGTATCATGCTGTTTTATTTACTATAGCCTTGTAGTAAAGTTTTAGGGTAACATGATACCTCCAGTCTTGTTTTTTGGCTTAGGATTGCTTTGCCTATTGGAGCTCATTTTTGGTTTCATATGAATTTTAGAATTTTTCTTCTCATTCTGTGAAAAACAACACTGGTGATTTGACAGGGATTGTGTTGAATCTGTAGATTGCTTTGGGAAGTGTGGTCATTATTAACAATAGTGATTCTTCCAATTCATGAGCATGAGATGTTTTTCCATTTGTTGGTGTTATCTGTGATTTCTTTCTTCAGTGTTATGTAATTCTCCTTGAAGAGATCTTTCACCTCTTTGGTTAAATACATTCCTAGATTTTTTTTTTTGGCCGCTATTATAAATGAAATTGAATTCATTTTTTAAAATTCTTTTTTCCTTTATTTTTGTGTGACTGGGTTGATTCAAGTAACTGGTCTTCAAGAAATTCTTTCTTAAACTTGGTCTGTTGTTAAAGCTTGCAACTGTATTTTGAAATTTCTACAGTGAATTTTTCAATTTCAGACATTTCGTTTTTTGTTTGTTTCTTAATATGGCCATGTAGTCTTTCAAATCTTGGATCATTTAACTGGCTTCTTTGTATTGAGTTTCAACTTTCTGTTGCATCTTGTTGTGTTCCTTTGCCATCCATATTATGAATTCTATATCTGTCTTTTCAGACGTCTCATTCTGGTCAGGATCCATTACTAGGGAGTTGCTATGGTCCTTTGGAGGTGACAAAACACTCTGCCAGAGTTCCTTCTCATCTGAGAGCACCGTTTTTTGTTTTTTGGGTTTGCTTTTTTTTTTTTTAGATGGGGCTTTTAAATTTTTTTTTTTTTCCTGTGGTATGACTGTGGTTTGTGTTGCATATGGTCTGTTGGCTTCATTTCACAGTGTGTCCAGAGGGCCAGGGCTCGGTACAGGACCCTTCGTTGCAGTAGGGCTCACTCAATGACAGTTGTGGGCATGGCTCATTGAAGTGATGCATTTTCATTTGATGGTGTAGTCAAGCTGCAGTAGTTGGTTGGCACTTAAGGGTAAGAACCAGTCGGTGGACTCTTCACTTTTTATGTGCTGGCCCCCAGAGGGGACGGGGCACCCCCAAAATTGCAAAAGGCAGCCCCACCCCACTCTCACACTGGCTTGCATTTGCAGGGAGTGGGGACCACTAGAAACATATAAGAACCAGTTTCTTTCCATGCAGCTTCCCAGGCTCCAGTGGGAAAAGCCACAGGCACAACCGTGCCCTGGGGTGGGGGCTGAGGGTGAGTGACAGACACCCCCCAGTCCGACTCCCCCCAGTCTGTTTTGGTGTTCTTGTGCTTTGGTGCTACGTCCTTCCACAGCTAGTACCGTGCTCATTTTTCTGCTTTTCCTTTGAAAAGAGGGGGACTTTGACAGCTGCACACCCCTCTCTTAGGGTCGGCATGGTCCGAGCAGGCTGTGGGGAAAGCCTGGGTGGTCTGGTGGTGGTACCGTGGTTGGTGGGTGGAAGCCTACTAGGGTGCAGTGGCACAGTGGGTGGCAGTCAGTATGATGTCTGCAGTCTTAGCCTGGGCCTGACCACGGACCTGGGGGGTTGTTGGGTGTGGGGCTGCGGTATGGCTGCGCAGTTCATTCTGGGAAGTTCTCCACCCCCGCCACTGACATTGCTGGGTCGCAGGGTCTATAGGGCTCACCCACCTATTTAGCTGTCAGCAGATTGTCAGAGCAGTGTGGGTGGCAAGGAAGCACTTCTATTTGGCTCTGAGCTCTTTGGAGAGAATGTCAGCCAGACACTTGCTGCTTTCCTTTTTTCTGTGCATCCCAGCCACCTCGTGGGCGCTTTCATGGTTCCAGTTTCCTGTCCCTACGTTTTCCTGCTCAAAATTTGGTCATTCTCCAGGAATTTCGATCTTCTTTCTGATGAGAACTGGTGTGCCATGCCCCTAGTCAGTCATCCTGGAACATTTCTATTTGTATTTTGAGCCCAACTAGATTTATTTAATTAGAGCACTTAGTATAGAATTTTTCTGTAGTGATCAGAATGATTCTCATGGGAGTAAAGAATGGGGCCTAGAAGTGATTACTAATTCACAAAATTTGCTTTGAAAAAAAAGAAGGTAGTGGGAACAGAAGATAGATCCAAAGATTTACTTTGCTTGTGATCCAAGTAAACTTTAACTTCTAAATCCATCATTTTCATTGGTTTCTCATTCTTTTCTGCATTATGATTTAAAAATAGGAATTGTTTCTTTTAAAATGATAGCTACATTTGTGTTTTATTCTTTTATTTGTCTCATTTCAGAAAATTTTGAAAGTTCAAATTCGAGAAGATATGACACAAGAAGAATTTTTAGCTCATGTGACCGCCACACCCTTTGGAATTCTTCCCTCAGTTTCTGAACCTCCACTTAGTCATTTGTTAAAACCAGTGACAAAACCACCTTCCACAAAAGTTGAAATAAAAAATAAGACTGTTACTTTTCCTACAACAGAACCTGGTAAAACTTCAGGTATTGTATCAAAAAATTCTGTAATTCATATATCTACTGATGTATTGAATTGAATGCTCTGTTCTGAGTTAATAGTAAGTTAGTGATAAGTCCAAATATTTCCCCTACTTGAGAAGAAAATCAAGCAATCATTGGAAATCATTTCAATTTGGCCTGGATTTAGGTATTTAATCTTAAAATGTTAAACCTTGGCATTTTATTATTCTGTGAAATCCAGGAATCTTAGATTTTATTTGGTGGTCAAAACCATCCCTCCCCAACTCTCACAGGGTCTTTGACCAGAATTGTTAATAAATTAGATGAAGAAGAGAGGTAAGTAAGTTATTTAGAGAGTAAGTCAGGTAAGAACCTGACTTTGAGGCTATAGAGAGGCTAAGTAGGTTTGCTCAGTTTCCCCGCTTATAAAATGGCCACTGGAATTAACACCTTCTACAAAGGTCTTTGAGGATATATTCAGTAATTCATATATAGACAGTTCCCAATTTTAGATGATTCGAGTCACTTTTTCTATTTAATGATGGAGTGAAAGCAATATACATTCAGTAGATACCATACTTTAACTTTTGACCTTTTCCCAGGCTAACAGTGTGCCACGCTGAACCCTCTCATGATGTTGGGCAGCAGTAGAGAGTTGCAGCTCTCAGCGAGCCCCACGATCTCAAGGGTGAATGCCCGGCACTGTGTTCTACAGCATATTTTATTCACTGCGTTACACGAGATATTCGACACTTTATTATAACACTGGCTTTGTGTTAGAGGATTTTGTCCAACTATAGGCTAATATAAGTGTTCTGAGCATGTTTAAGGTAGACTAGTCTAAGCTATGATGTTCGATAGGCTAGATTAGATGTATTAAATGCATTTCATGGATTGCCTGAGCCCGCGGGTTTGAGACCCGCCTGGGTAGGAGAGACCTCATCTGTACAATAAAATCAAAAAATTAGCTGGGCGTGGTAGCATGCGCCTGTAATTCCGGCTACTCGGAAAGGCTGAGGTGGAAGGATCGCCAGAGCCCAGCAGGTCGAGGCTGCGATGGCCGGGAGCGGCCACTGCACTCCAGTCTGGGCGACAGAGTGAGACTCCAGCTCAAAAAAAAATGCATGTCAACTGATGATATTTTCAACTTATGGGCTGGTCGGGATGTAACCCCGTCATAGGTTGAGGGGGTTGTACAGCCCTGCTGATAGATGCATGGTGCCTCCTCAACATGAAGCCCTTCCGCCAGAGGTCCTTGGTGTGAGTCTTACAGCCTTCCCTATGGCCAGGGGCCATGTGTCCTGCTTCTTTGTGGAGCTCCTCCTGCTTTCTCCTCCTTTGTTCCTGGTCTCACTTTTCCTAACCCTTGACTTTGCCTCACATGTGGAAAATAGAGAGGCCATGAGACTCAGTGAAAGGCTTCTGTTTCCATTACAGATGAAACCCTCTGCTTAGAACCAAGATTCATCGATCCCTGCCTCTGGAGTCCTCCCTCTGGTCCCTTCTCTCTTTTGAGTCATCAGTTTCTCCCTGCATTTGGAATACTGTACCATCCCTGGCACATGGAATACTGTACCATCCCTGATTTAGGAAGTGCCTTCCTCAGCCCCCATGTCCCTTCCCTGTGGCCACCCCCTTTGTCAGCAGCCCTCTAGCAAAAGGATTATGCTCCCTGCCTTCACTTCCTTGGACCGTTGAACTGACATCACTGTCATACCTGGAGCCTGCTCCTTCTGAGGTCACTAAGAGCTCCATTTTGCCAAATCCAGGGTCCTTTTACATGTCTTGGTCTGTCAGACCTCAGTGCCATTGACCATTTCTTCCTCCTTGGAACGCTTTCTTCTCGCTGCTTCTATGGTGCCTGCACCCCTGGTGTTTTCACCTTACCTGCTCCTCAGATTCCTTTGCTGACTCCTCCTCTTTCCAACTTCTGAGGTGTGGCACAGTCCTGACCCTGGACCTGCCTGTGCCCTCCTTCTCTGTGTGTTCTCCTGAGCAATATAATCTGTGGCCCATGACTGATGACTGCCCAAGTGCTCGGGCCCAGTCAGCACACCCTGGTACCTACTCGGCTCCTGCATGTGGGTATCTCATAGGCTTATCAAATATGACATGCCCAGGACAGGACCTGCTTCCCCAGACTCACTCATGGCAGCAAGTGGTGCCACTATCTGACCATGGGTTTTCATCTTTTTTTTTGAGTTGGGATCTCACTCTATCTCCCAGGCTAGAGTACAGTAGCACGATCACAACTCACTGCAGCTTTGACCTCCTGGGCTCAGGTGATCCTTCTGCCTCTGCCGCTCAATAGCTGGGACTACAGGTGTGCACCACCACACATAGCTATTTTTTAAATTTTTTGTGGAGACAAAACCTCATGGTGTTGCATAGACTGGCCTCGAATTCCTTGGCTCAAGCAATCCTCCCACCTTGCCTTCCCAGGATGCTAGGATTACAGACGGGAGCCACTGTGCCGGGCCCATTGGTTGTTGTCTTTGATTTCTCTTCCCTTCCTCTCCCCACATTCCGCCCATCAGCAAGTCCTTTGAAGTCTGTCTTCCAAATAGATACCAAATGTGCCACTTCTTTTTTTCCCCTTTGCCACTGCATACTCGAGACAGCCATGCTGTGCATCAGCTCTCCACTGAACTGCTGCAGCCATGCCTTACCTGGGCTCCCTTTGCCACTTCGGCCCCTCACAATTTCTTGCCTGCAGTTCTTTAAAAATATAAATGGTCTTACTGCTCCCGTGCTTAAGCCCTTCATTGTCTTTGCATTGCACTTAGACTAAAACCCAAAATAGGGTGGCTGACGTACCTGATTTCTTTTAGAAGATACTGTAGTTCCCATTGAACTCCTTTAGGTACCTCATAATTTTTTTCCCCCATGACAAGTAGTGAGGCCCGACACAGTAATCTGCTTGTTCACTGACCTCTCTGAGTTTGAGTTGTGATGCATGTTCCTTTTAGATAGCTGTTTGGAGCTCGAGAATCATGGCACCGCAGAGGTGAAGTGGCATCTGTCATCTTTAGCGCCGGCATATGTCAAGGTCAGTCATGACTGCCTCCAATATAATCGTTTTAATGTTGAAACTTGATTCAGGATGTTAAAAGATTGAGTATGCACACAGGTTGGTTATTTGTTCTACAATCCGTTTAGCTGGTTTTCTTTGAAAATGGAAACATTACATGCCCAGTCTTTTCCACAAGGTGATTTCAAGAGGTAAATGAGAGAATGTGTGTGGAAATACATGCTTACTCCATTTGATGCTGTCTCATAGCCCTGATTTTTATTTGAACTAACTTGATTTTAAATAATGTGTACACACATTGTATTACCAAGCGTTGTGTGTGCACGAGCACACTTTTCTCTCCCATGTTCTGAGTGCTGTTGTATGTTTCCAGCCTGTGGGAGCTTGCACACTCTATCTGTGAATGTTAACCTGACACCTACTACAGTAGTCTGTGCCAGTGGGCACTGCCTGAGTTGAGTGGATTTGTCATTTGTGGTGTTTAGAATGCGTGGCACTCTCTGCCATGCATTTTGTGTGATAATAACAGTTTTGAGCATAATACTAACAAAATGTGTGCAATGTATTTGGACCTACTGCAAAGAAATTAAAAACTGCTATTGGCTAGGATGTTAAAATGCATATCGAACAGAGTCTTCAGGGTCTTTGAGGAAAAGATAGTCATTTGACGTTGTGAGCATCACCATAAAGATCACTGTAGCCACTAAGGTAATAAAGGTCACCACATGTCACCTTTTCTGGGGTAATGACAGTCAATGTGACTGCCTTGTCGAAGCTCAGTCAAGTAGCTCTCCCATTTCTGGGAATACCTTGAGCTCTCCTTGTCCATTGCTAAGTGGATTGGTGTGTTAGCAACAGCCATAGAAGTAATGGTGTCTCTGTGGTTTTGATCCGTTGATTTGTATTTTTTAAATTTGATTGTTTAGCCGGGCATGGTGGCTCATTCCTGTGATCCCAACACTTTGGGAGGCTGAGGTCAAAGGATTGCCTGAGCCCAGGAATTCGAGACTAGCCTGGGCAACTTGACGAGACTTCATCTCTACAATAGATTATAAAGTTAGGCCAAGCTTGGTTGCTCAAGCCTATAATCCCAGCACTTTGGGAGGCTGAGGTAAGAGGATTACCTGAGCCCATGGGTTCGAGACCAACCTGGGCAACTTGGCGAGATCTCATCTCTACAATAAATCAAAAAATTAGCCAGGCATGGTATTGCGTGCCTGTAGTTCCGGCACTCCAGCCTGAGCAACAGAGTGAGACTCCAACTCAAAAAAAAAAAATGTTAGCTGGTCATGGTGGTGTGCATCTGAAGTTCCAGCTACTTAGAAGGCTGAGGTGAAAGGATTGCCTGAGCCCAGCAGGTCGGGGCTGCAGTAGCCATGAGTGTGCCACTGCACTCCATCCTGGGTGACAGAGTGGGACTCCAGCTCAAAAATAAATAAGTAAATAAATAAATTTGATTGTTTAAGTGATTACTTTGCAGGGTGTTGATGAAAGTGGAGATGTTTTTAGAGCTACATATGCAGCATTCAGATGCTCTCCTATTTCTGGTATACTGGAAAGCTGTGGACTCCAAAAGGTAAGGTTTTTTTTGTTTGTTTCTTTTTGTGTGTGTGCGTTTGCATTATTTAGTGGCAAAGAAGTCTGGGCTTTAAGTGTACCTACCACCCCCACCTGTACACGTTATATCCACTCGGTGATATTTTATCCCTCTACCCCTTCTCTGTCCCCCTTCTGAGTCTCCAAGGTCCATGATGCCATTTTCTGTCTTTTACTTTAGCTCCCACTTATAGGTGAAAACACACAGTGTTTGGTTTTCTGTTCCTGCATTAGTTCACTTAGGATGATAGTTTCCAGTTTCATTCAAGTTGCTGCAAAAGACATTATTATTTCATTCTTTATTTATGGCTGAATAGTATTCCATGGTATATTTATACAACATTTTCATTTTTCACTGACTAGTTGATGAGCATTTAGGTTGATATCACCTTTTTTTGCGACTGTGAATTGTGCTGCGGTAAACATCCGAGGGCAGGTGTCTTTTTTATATAACCACTTCTGTTCCCTTGGGTAGATACCTAGACTAGTAAATTTCCTACATATGAACTTTCAAGTTGCAAACTTTAACAATGCACACCTGCGTTTTTATGTATTATTTCTCTCTAGCAGGCATCAGTATAGCCTGTTAACACTTTCCCGTGTTTAACCTAAGAATACTCGGCTGGTGATAGTTGTGGCTGGTGATAGTTGTGGCTGCAGCATTTACTCTGAAATGGAAAAGAAAGAATTACAAAATATTATAATTCCCTCCTTCTCCTTCTTCCTTCTTCTCCCTCCTTCCTCCTCCTTCTTTCTTCTTCCTCTTCTTCTATTAGTAATTCTTGTTAGGATTAGAGACAAGTTCTGTTTAGAAATAACTCCAAGAACAATTTTTATATCTTATTTTCACATTGAAAACCAGTCAGATTTGCTTCAGCCTCAAAGAACATGTTTATGTAAAATTAAATGTATGTGATCACGAGCTGCATTTTTTTTTAAACGGTAAAGGGTTAAATGCATACAGTATTATATAGCTGATTGTGTTAGTTGGGTACCTAGGCTAACTTTGTTGGACTTAAAACAAATTGGACTTACAAATGCACTCACAGAACAGAACTTGTTCGTATGTTGGGAACTTCCTGTAGTGGGATTGCTGGATCGAATGGTAGATCTACTTTTAATTCTTTGAGAAATCTCCATACTGATTTCCATATAGGTTGTACTAATTTGCACTTCCACCAGCAGTGTATAAGTATTCCTGAAAAGGTAGGTGTTAACATTTTTTTCATAGCCAGTTAATGGTCCAGATGTGCCTCATTTGACTCCACCCATTTTCATTTGTTTCACCTAGAACAGTGCTACTCACAGAGTCAGTCTGTCCACAAGAGCAGAGCCTGTCTCACTTTCACTATGCTGCAGCAGAAAGTCTTGCTGTGAAAAATTGTCAGCTAAACAAAACATCACCTTAGTGATAGAGATCACAGACTGCCAGTGCTCACAGAGCATACTCACTGATTGAGGTGAGAGTTTTATCTGCCTGCTAGAGCCAGCAAAACCTACCAACTCTCAAAAACAACTCGATGTTCATGGCATAATCAACTGTATATCTCCATGGGTGACAGATCCCTCCAGAAGCTATGTATGACCTTCTTAAATTTCAATTTATGTCTAGATTTGGCATAGTCCTTCCAAATGTCTCCTAGTAATAATACTAGTTATCACTTGGTCTCAGCAATATACTTTTTTGTTCTAATTGCTGAAACTCATTTAAACTGTAGCGCTGAAGATATTGACCCGTTTACCCAGACATTCAAACTTCCAACAAGCTCTGTAATATAACTAAAAACTCATACTGATGGTAAAGAATCTTGGAACCACTAACTATATTAGTTGTTGCAAACTGTGTACTCTACTAGGTCTGTATAACAGACTTTCAAGGGGTTTCTTACTGTTTTGGAAAAACACACAGTTCTTCAAACATATATATTCCATTTCCCAAACCACAACTGAGCAAAGCAGTAGAACAGGAAAATTCACATTGCTTAAATCAAACTCAACATTTAAGGAGAGATTGCAGAAAGAAACCTAGCAGGAAAGACATTTTGTGTCAACAGATCAGAACGCTTAACCCTGTCGAGACAACAGTGTTTCCTAAATTGATGTATATATTCAACACAATCCCTGTCAAAACCCCAACTGGGTTTTTATTTGCTTTGAAATTGTCAGACTGGTCACAAAATTTATACAAACATACAAGGGACCCAGAATAACCACACAGTCTTGAAATAGAACAGAGGTAGGAGACTTATACTTCCCATTTTCAAAACCTACTAAGCTACGTTACTCAAATCAGTGTGGTATTGACAGTTCTGTAGACATATGGAATAAAATTGAGACTCCCAAAATAAATTCTCATATTTATAGCCAGTTAAATTTTTTTTTTAATAAGGGAACCAAGACAATTAAATGAGGAAAAATATTTTTCAACAAATGGTGACTGGAATAACTGTATAAGCACACACAAAAGAATTAGGGAGGACCCTTACCTAGTACCACATATAAAAATTCACTTAAAATGGACCATAGATTATAATGTAAGGGCTAAAACTATAAAACCCCTAGAATTCAACATAGGAATAAATCTTAATGTCCTTGGATAAAGCATTGGTTTCTTAGGCATGATACTAGTAAAGCACAATCCACAAAAGAAAAAAATAAGTAAATTATCAAAATTAAAAATACTTGTGTATCAAACGATGCCATAAAGAAAGTGAAAGACTGGGCATTGGGGAAAAAAATATTTTCAAATCATATAGTTGACAAAGGACTTGTATCCAGAATACAATCCAGAGGACTTTTACAACCCAGTAAAAAGATAAATGACTCAATTTTTAAAATGAGCAAATGATTTAAATAGACATTTTTCCAAAGAAGATAGGTACAAGTAGCCAATAAACTTCTGAAAAAAATGCTTAGGATTGCTAGTCATTAGCAAAATGTATTCAAAACCAGAAATGAGGTATCACTTAATGCCACTAAGATAGCTATGATTTTTTTAATAAAGATAACAGGTGTTGGTGAGGATATGGAGAAATTGGAACCCTCATGCTTTGCTGGTGCAATGTAAAATGATGCAGCCACTATGAAAAACATTTTGGCAGTTTCTCAATAAGCCCACATAGAATTACCATATGACCCAGCATTTCCACCTCTGGATATACACCAAAAAAATTGAAGCAGATATTCAAACAAAAACTTGTTTGGAATCCAAAATCAGTAGAAGTTAACATGTCCTTCAGCTGATAGGTGGGTAAACAAAATCTGGTATGTTTGTATAATGAAATATTATTTGGTAATAAAAAGTAATCAAGTTACTGGTACATGCTACACCCAGATGGATGAACCTTGAAAATATTACGCCAAGTGAAGGAACCCAGTCTCAAAAGCCTGTGTATTGCCTGTGATTTCATTTGCATGGCATACCTAGGACAGGCAGATACTATAGAGACGGAAGGTAGATTAGTGGTCGCTAGGGGCTGGGAATGAGAGTGGAGAATGGAGAGTGACTCCTGGTGGCAAAGCGTTTCTTTTTAGATTGTTGAAAATGTTTCAAAATTAGGTTGTGATGGTGGTTGCATAGTTCTGTAAATATACTAATAATCACTGACTACACACACTTGGAATGGGTGAATTGTGTGGGGTTTTGTGTTTTTATGTGATGGTCAGTCAGGTGTAGCCACAAAGAGATACAAGAAAACAAAATTTGTTACACTCACAGGTCCTAGAAAGGAGGTTATTGCACACCATGCAGAATCTTGGGGAAGGCACAGGGTGGTCAGACGGCAGAAGACAGGATAGAGGAGAGAGCTCAGGCCATAGTCTTTATTGGAGTTTTCATGGGAAAATCAAGGCAGGGCAGTGTAAACAGTTTAGCAGGCTCTGAGCTATAGGGGTTGTCTCTAGTTGCTTGTACCAGCCCTGGAATGATTAAGACAGAAAAACACTGGCTACTGGGATTCACAGGCCAGGTGGAAGAGGTGACTGTATTGGTTGGTTTGCAGATCAAAAGCATTCTCCATGGTTAATCTTTTACTGTCTCCATGAATTGGCTAACACAACCAAAAAAGCTTTTTAAGATATCAAAACAGCTGGGTGTGGTGGCTCACACCTGTAATACCAGTACTTTGGGAGGTAGAGGCAAGAGGATTGTCTGAACCAAAGGGTTTGAGACCACACTGGGCAACTTAGCAAAACCTCATCTCTATAATACATACATAAATAAAAATTAGCCAGGTGTGATTGCACACACCTGTAGTCCTAGCTACTTGAAAGGCTGAGGTGGAAGGATCACCTGAGCCCGGCAGGTCGAGACTGGTGGCCATGAGCTTGCCATTGCACTATAACCTGGGTGATAGACTTTGACCGAAAAAATAAAAAAAGATGTCAAAACATCAAAATATACAGAAAAAAACATAATACATATGGGTATGTGAATTGTATCTCAATAAAGCTATCTTAAAAATAGGATGCAGTGTTAAATCATCTCCCAAGAATTTCTCCTTTTTCCGCAACACTTAACATAGAAACATAAGCTCCATGCAGTCTTTGATTTTTGTGGTGTGCATCACTGTGTATCTTGGACCAAACTAATTATTTACCACATTGTAAGCACTCAAAAAATCTTTGTCACCTGATGACTCGATTTATAGTGGGGAAAACTATAAGCACATTATTCTGAGACCATAGGAAAATATCACCAAATAGCACAATTACTGATGTATATAGTGGTAACCCAGAAGGAAAAAAAATAGTTCGTTAGTTACAGCCTATTTTTTTAAGGAAGAGATGTACACAGTAATTTTTTTGAAACATTGGTCAGTTGATATAAGGATTAGATAAAATCATGAATGTTAACATTCCTAGTATGTAGCCAGTATGTAACATGCAGTAATATGAGTCGTTTCCCTCCTGTTTTGTTTTGGTTTTGGTGTTTGAAGGGGTAGAGTTGAGATGTCATGACGCTGTAGTCCCAAGTGGTAGTTTTCACCTGTGTCCTCCTTAGCAGTTTATTCCCTAGTCGGATGCTCTCCTCTCCTCGATCAGTCCTGGCTTGTGGGTTATTTCTTAGGTTCGATATAGGCAGAAATTAGGTCTCTGAATGTCTTAATGTTTACGTCTAGACTCAGGGATGCTGATTCATTGTTAAACTAATTGGTGATCTGCATTAACAACACTAAATTCTGTGATAAAGCTAAGACTTATAAAATCCTATTTTTAAATATTACATTTTTGGCTGGGCTCGGTGACTCAGCCTGTAATCCCATGCTTTGGGAGGCCGAGGTGAGTGAATTGCCTGAGCCCGTGAGTTCGATACCCGCCTGGGCAACTTGGCAAGACCTCATTTCTACAATAAATCAAAAAATTAGCCAGGTGTGGTAGCACACGCCTGCAGTTCCAGCTACTTGGAAGGCTGAATGGAAGGGTCACCGGATCCCAGCAGATTGAGGCTGCGGTGACCGGAAGCGGCCACTGCATTCCAGTCTGGGCGACAGAGTCTCCAACTCAAAAAAAAAAAAAAAATTACATTTTTCTCGTGATTGAGCTTTTTATACGTTGTACACATTTAGCAGGGCCTATATATTAGCCCTGAGTTTAATAACCAGGGTTGCTGGCTGTCTAAGTTAATCATAATATGAGCCGTGATCTTAGAGCGTCAGGATGCCTTGTTCTGCAACCACCCGTCCCCCAGTTTCTAGTCCTCTGCCGTGAATGGCGGTCGGTAGGCCTTTGACCTTTCACTGCTTGGCCGGCAGGGGGCTCCATCAGCATTGCCCTGAAAGGTGACCATGTGCCTGTGGTTGGACCTTCGTGGAGGTCTTGTGCTTGATGGCTGTAGTATTTCTTGATACCTTTTTCTCCAAAAAAGCATTTACTGTAGATTTTGAGAAATATGTTGCATAACTCCTTAAACAAAAATGTGTTTTGGATCTGGTATAGTAACAAGTCTGCTATGAATGAAATTGTTCAAATTCTTTCAGTCAGAGGGAAAACTAGCCAGTGCAAAAGCATTTGTCCCTTTAATTTTTTCATACCAAAACTTTGAACTGGCAGTCTACCTACATGTGTCTAATGATCAGTGTCTCAGTTTCTCTTCTGGATATGTTTTGTAGGTCTTCATCACATTTTTGCCTAGAGATCAAGGGGATTATGCCCAGTTTTGGGATGTTGAATGTCACCATTTTAAAGAGGCTCATATGAAACACACATTGAGATTTCAACTCTGTGGACACGTAAGTAGTACACTGAATTTAAGTAAATTATGAAAAATAATATGGAAAACACTAAGTGAAATTGACATGAAAAAACTGGCCTGAAAATGCAGAATATTTTCCTGATTTCATCCCACTTTCATTAGTTCTGTTGTATTGCCCCATAATCTTAATTTTCCTGTTTGTCTTTATTGATTGTCATGTTTGAAACCTGGATTTGGCTCTGTTGAAATTCATGTTTAACTTAATTATGCAAGATACTCTTTGTATATGTGTGCATGTGAGAGAGAAGGAGAAACTAGATGGTAAATGGCAGAAGGTTCGCGATTCAGGGGATTTAAAAATCTTAGGTTTCCTTTTTTAAAATGTTAAGGGAAATGGTAGAATTCAAAAAGGTAATTTCCTATATTTTCCTGGAGTGTTTATTTTTTCCTCTCCCACCCTGTGATTTTCTTTGACAGAGTGTCAAAGCAGGAAATGAGTCTGAAAACGCATGCATTTCTACAAAGTCCCTCATTAAAATAGATAATTTAGTTAAGCCGCGAAGACAAACTGTGCCAGAAGCTTCTGCTCTCCTACCTGAGTATGTTGTTTTTGTCATTCTTATAAATTTTTATTCAGTACTTTTTTGAGGTATAGTTATATTCAATAAAATGCTCTATGACTTTATCTGTGGGTTCACATGAGTTACTACCACTTCAGACAAGGTATAGAATATTTCTCTCACTCTAGAAAGTTCTTATATGTTCCTTGGCAATTAAGAATTGTTCTGTGCTGTGGGCTGGGTGCAGTGGCTCATGCTTGCCATCCCAGCACTTTGGGAGGCCGAGGCAGGAGAATCGTTTGAGCCCAGGAGTTTGAGGCCAACCTGGGCAACACAGTGAGACCTTGCCTCTACAGAAAATTAGAGTGTACCTATAGTCCCAGCTACATGAGAGGCTGAGACAGAAGGCTAACTTGAGCCCAGGAAGTTGAGGCTGCAGTGAGCTGTGATTGTGTCACTGCACTTTAGCCTAGGTGACAGAGTGAGACTCTGACTCAAAAAAAAATAATTGTTCTATTTCAGTCATCATTTCTCAACATGATTTTTTTGTTTTAGATTTATGTTGTCAAGTGTACCTATCTATAGTTTGTTTCTTTTTATTGTTTAGTATTTCATTAAATGAACATACCACAGTTTATTCATTTTCCTGTTGACATTTCAGTGTGTTATAATTTGGGGCTATTGTGAATTAAGGTGCTGTGAGCATTATTGTATGTACATTTCTGTAAATATACATATTCATTTCTTTGGGATGAAAATACCTGATTTTACCCAAAATTAATGGATCACATGATAAGCTTGTGTTTAACTTTAAAATAAACTGCCAATAGATTTCCCTAAATAGTTGTACCATTTTACATTGCAACATATGAAAGTAAAGTCTTAAGAGCGTTAAACACAGATTTTATGACAGTAGCTCATATAACTGTAATGATAATATTTTTTAGTATTCTACATAATGAAAGTGTTCTTTATAGTCCTTAATTAACTAATAATTAGATCTAATTTCATTCTGGAAGATGTCTGGAAGGAAAATATATGTTAAATACCTGCTGAATTTAATATAAATCTGGCCAGTTATTTTTTAATAAGAGCAAATATTACATTTTGTAAGAAATGTGAACCCTTTAAAGAATATGTGTTCTTAGCACGCTTTCTCGATGCCATTATTCGTTTATCTCATACTCACTGAGCACTCACGATGCACCAGGCACTGGAGATGGAAGAGTGCGTGGAATTGCCCTGGTCTGGTCTCCACAGGCTCCTTTATGGAGGAGGAGCCACGCCAATCCAGTGACTATGGGACTGGAGGGAAATAAATGAGAAACATTAGGAAACGTGACAGAGGCAGTATGGTCTGTGATGTCTGGGAAGAGCTTCCCTGAAGAGGGATATTGAAGTTGAGGAGGATGAATTCGGGAATGGCCAAAGCAAAGGGGGATAGGAGAAATCCCCGACCCTATAAAGGACATGGTTGACTTTTGAGGAATCAACTGACAGCCCTAAGTCTGAAGCACGTGGGAGGGAGACAATGTTGTGGGGTGATACTAGAGAGGGAGGTGGACAAAATACAGACCATGCCAAGCCTTGAGTGCTGGGCGAAGGAGGTGAGTACTTTTCTGGAGCTCTGTGGGAGGCTATGGGGTGATGTGATCAGATTTGTGACTTTATAGGAAAAAACTCCTCCTCTGGCTGCAGTACTGACTGATCAGAAGGAGGCGAAGGCTTCAAGACCCGCCTGGGCAACTTGGCGAGACCTCATCTCTACAATAAATAAAAAAAAAATTAGCCGGGCGTGGTAGCGCACGCCTGTAGTTCCAGCTACTTGGAAGGCTGAGGCGAAAGGATCGCCGGAGCCCAGCAGGTTGAGGCTGTGGTGGCCGGGAGTGGTCACTGCACTCCAGTCTGGGCGACAGAGTGACTCCAACTCAAAAAAAAAAAAAGAAGGAGCCAAAGGCAGATATGGTAAAACAAGTCAGAGACTATTTTTAAAGAGTCCAGGAATAAAATAGTGTCAAGGAATATGAGGAGAATGAATAAATTTGAGAAGTATAGAGGAAGGAAATGTGAAGGCCTTCGTAATGAATTGGGCAAAGGGGCATGGGAGAGGATTATCTCCCAGATACCATTCTCCAAAACAGGAAATACAAGTGGAGAGTCAGGTTTGACGAGAAAGGTCACAAGTTGAGTTCTGTATTTGTGGAGACGGGGTGTCTTTGAGCTGTCCTGGGGGAGACTTGTGAGTGGTTGGGGCGTGGTGAGGAGAGGCAGAGCTAAAACTTAGATCTGGGCCTCCCTTAGGTGTGGTGGGAGAAGAGTGCTGCCAGCAGAGAGGTGAGAGAGTAGCCAGAGGAATGAGAGTAGCAGTGTGTAGTTAGGGGAGCCCAGGAAATAGGAAATGCTCACGCCTTCAGACGGTACCCAGAAGCCAAAGCTTTTGTCAGGCGTTCAGAGGAAGATTACAGGGAGGGGCAGCTGCGAACTGTAGCATGAGTAATCCAGGTGACATGAGCCTGAGGTGGAAGGATACCGTGATACAAACTGCAGTTCAGACTGCTAGAGAACCAGGCTGGAGGGACAAAGAGTGATGAAGGGAGGTCTTGTGGAGCCTGGCCTAACCCGGTACCTTTTACAAGGGGGGGACCCAAAAACCCTGGAATCTATTTATAAAAAGTTGTGTATTTTTATATGTTTAAGGAGGAAGTCAACTTCAAAGTGCTCTCCATTTTTTGCAACACGCCTGTCAAGGCGCTTTTTCCGCTGCTCAGAACAGTTTTTGAACTTGTCGACTTTGATGCCTTTTAGAGCTTCTGCCATTTTTTTCTTTCACCTCTTCCACATCAGCAAAATGTTCCCCTTTCATCCCAGGAAACAAACAGAAAAAAAGACACTCTAGGCAAGACCAGGTGACTAGGGAGGGTGGCGCACAGGGGTCATGCCATTTTTGGTCATAATTGCTGAGCACTCAGCACAATGTGGGCAGGTGCACTTGTGTATCACCCATTACGAAATGGCAAACGCGCTGGAAAAACCTCAAAGAAAAATTCACCGAAACTGAATGCAGCCTCTCACAACAACGCTAGCTGGTACACTGATGCCAGTGGGTTCCTTGAAGACTTACTTAGCGGAGGAAGCCTACAAGTGAACCGCCCTCCAAAAGATAATTCCAGGTTTTCTGGGTCCCCCCTTTCATTCCTCCTATCATTATCTTTATATAAAATGATTTTTTGCGATAGGTTGTGAGAAAAAAAATTAATGCAACTGTACATAATTTAACATACAAAAATAATTTAAATTACTATGAATTTTAAATAGTTAACTTTTAAAACTATTCCCAAAGCAGACAGCTTGATGTGATTCACCGTGGAGTTTATGCCCCAGAAGATGTGTACAGGTTTCTGCCAACTAGAGTTGGGGAGTCAAGAACACTGAAAGTCAATTTGCGGAACAATTCTTTTATTACACACTCGGTATGTTGGAAAGATTACTGGAGGTTTGGGAAACATAAATTATTCAGCTGTTTGATAACAAAAATTTCCCTAATGGTTAGAAACTTGTTTTATAGATTGTTTGTGGGTTATATGTAAGTTGTAGTGATTAGTTAATTTTTTTAAATGCCTGGATTTGAAAAGAAATTCATTGGCAGTTCATGACCCTTTATTTAAAATCAGAAATTTTGTTTTATATTTTAGTTTTTGCCTTTCCTTTTCTCTTTTATGCTATCACACAGACATTTTGTTTTTGGTAGGATGTAAATCTTGCTTTTTTTAAATTTTAAAGATGTGTGGTACAATTCAGGGTTAAGTATACAAATGTTCATTATGCAGCTACCCTTGCTGATGAGGTGTGCTTCCCCCTCCCCCGGCAAAATTCCACTACTGCCAATCCTGTCCCCCTACCCCTGGCAGTTTCCCGCTACTAACAATCCTTTTCTTATAGTATGATAATTGTTCAAGGTCCACTTATGAGTGAGAACAACACAGCCATATTTTTAGGTAACATTTACTTTATTCAAAACTAGAGTAAATTTATGTTAAAATTTCCTTAAATGTGTTTTCATTAATCAGCATTTGTTGTCTTACCTAATTTAGTGGCAATACATAAGTTTATAAAATATATCTCTATTTAAAGAAATGTATGGGCCGGGCTTGGTGGCTCAGCCTATAATCCCGTGCCTTTGGGAGGCTGAGGTGAGTGGATTGCCTGAGCCCACGGGTTCAAGACCCGCCTGGGCAGTGAGACCTCATCGCTACAATAAATCAAAAAAGCAGCCGGGCATGG